GTCAGGAGGCAGCTACTGGGCTGGGAAGCACTGGCAAGGTATTGGAGGTCAGTGGTGTATGCCAGGCAGCTTACCCTGCCACTTTGAGCTAATCCTGTTGCCTTCATGTGTTCATGGAGGATAGATACATGGGTGGCGCTGTGGTCTAAACCACCGAGCCTCTTGGGCTTGGCGATCAGAAGATCAGCAGTTTGAATCCACTCGACAGGGTGAGCTCCTGCTGGTCTGTTCCAGCTCCTGCTAACCTAGCAGTTCAGAAGCATACCAGTCAGCACAAGTATATAAATAGGTACCGCTGCGGCAGGAAGGTAAACAGTGTTTCCATGCACTCTGGCTTCCGTCATGGTGTTCCACTGAGCCAGAAGCAGTTTAGTCATGCTGGCCACATGACCCATAAAGCTGTCTGTGGACAAATGCTGGATCCCTTGGCCTAAAGGAAGTTAAAGGCTGCACCCCATAGTCGTCTTTGACTGGACTTAACTGTCCAGGGGTCCTTTACTTTTTACCATGGAGGATGCTGTCCCACTGGCAGCACTGGGCTTTTGTAAATGATACAGGAGAGAGGGTGCTTCTCTGTCAGCAAAATGTCTTGGGCTAGCGCTGGTTGTGTTTAAACATTATGGATTAGAATCACAGAATCATAGAATCATAGAATCATAGAGTTGGAAGAGACCACAAGGGCCATCGAGTCCAACCCCCTGCCAAGCAGGAAACACCATCAGAGCACTCCTGACATATGGTTGTCAAGCCTCTGCTTAAAGACCTCCAAAGAAGGAGACTCCACCACACTCCTTGGCAGCAAATTCCACTGTCAAACAGCTCTTACTGTCAGGAAGTTCTTCCTAATGTTTAGGTGGAATCTTCTTTCTTGTAGTTTGGATCCATTGCTCCGTGTCCGCTTCTCTGGAGCAGCAGAAAACAACCTTTCTCCCTCCTCTATGTGACATCCTTTTATATATTTGAACATGGCTATCATATCACCCCTTAACCTCCTCTTCTCCAGGCTAAACATGCCCAGCTCCCTTAGCCGTTCCTCATAAGGCATCGTTTCCAGGCCTTTGACCATTTTGGTTGTCCTCCTCTGGACACATTCCAGTTTGTCAGTGTCCTTCTTGAACTGTGGTGCCCAGAACTGGACACAGTACTCCAGGTGAGGTCTGACCAGAGCAGAATACAGTGGCACTATTACTTCCCTTGATCTAGATGCTGTACTCCTATTGATGCAGCCCAGAATTGCATTGGCTTTTTTAGCTGCCGCGTCACACTGTTGGCTCATGTCAAGTTTGTGGTCAACCAAGACTCCTAGATCCTTTTCACATGTACTGCTCTCAAGCCAGGTGTCACCCATCTTGTATTTGTGCCTCTCATTTTTTTGCCCAAGTGCAATACTTTACATTTCTCCCTGTTAAAATTCATCTTGTTTGTTTTGGCCCAGTTCTCTAATCTGTCAAGGTCGTTTTGAAGTGTGATCCTGTCCTCTGGGGTGTTAGCCACCCCTCCCAGTTTGGTGTCATCTGCAAATTTGATCAGGATGCCCTTGAGTCCATCATCCAAGTCGTTGATAAAGATGTTGAATAAGACCGGGCCCAAGACAGAACCCTGTGGCACCCCACTAGTCACTCTTCTCCAGGATGAAGAGGAACCATTGATGAGCACCCTTTGGGTTCAGTCAGTCAGCCAGTTACAAATCCACTGAGTGGTAGCATAGTCAAGACCGCATTTTACCAGCTTCTTTACAAGAATATCATGGGGCACCTTGTCAAATGCCTTGCTGAAATCAAGGTAGGCTACATCCACTGCGTTCCCTTCATCTACCAGGCTTGTAATTCTGTCAAAAACAAGATCAGGTTAGTCTGCATGACTTATTTTTCAGAAATCCATGCTGACTATTGGTGATCACAGCATTCCTTTCTAGGTGCTCACAGACTGTTTGCTTAATGATCTGCTCCAGAATCTTCCCTGGTATTGATGTCAGACTGACTGGGCGGTAATTATTTGGGTCCTCTCTTTTCCCTTTTTGAAAATAGGGACAACATTTGCCCTCCTCCAGTCTGCCGGGACTTCGCCTGTTCTCCAGGAATTCTCAAAGATGACTGCCAGTGGTTCTGAGATCACATCTGCCAGTTCTTTTAATACTCTTGGATGCAGTTCATCTGGCCCTGGAGACTTGAATACATCTAAACTAGCCAAGTATTCTTGTACTATCTCCTTAGTTATTCTGGGCTGTGTTTCCTCTGCTGAATCATTTGCTCCAAATTCTTCAGGTCGGGCGTTGTTTTCTTTATCGGAGAAGACTGAGGCAAAGAAGGCATTGAGGAGTTCAGCCCTTTCTGTGTCCCCTGTTTGCATTTCACCATCTTCTCCTCTGAGTGACCCCACTGTTTCTTTGTTCTTCCTTTTGCTACGAACATACCCATAAAAGCCTTTTTGTTGCTTTTAACCTCTCTAGCAAGCCTGAGTTCCTTCTGTGCTTTAGCTTTTCTGACTTTGTGTCTACACGTGCTGGCTATTTGTTTGAATTCCTCTTTGGTGGTTTACCCCCTTTTCCATTTTTTGTACACATCCTTTTAATCTTAACTCAGTTAAAAGTTCTTTAGATAGCCACCCTGGCTTCTTTAGGCACCTTCCATGTTTCCGTCTCATTGGTATTGCCTGACGGTTGTGCTTTTACTATCTCCCTCTTAACAAACTCCCAGCCATCATGAACTCCCTTTCCTTTTAGTATTACTGTCCATGGGATCTCACCCAGCACTTCCCTAAGTTTTATGAAGTCGGCTTTCTTAAAGTCAAGAAATTGAGTCCTAGTATGCTTGGCTGCTCCTTTCCGCTGTATAGTAAACTTCAGAAGAGCATGATCACTCGCGCCTAATGATCCTTCCACTTCTACCCCACTAACTAGGTCATCAACATTGGTTAGGACCAGATCTAAAATGGCTGTTCCTCTTGTTGCTTCTCCCACTTTCTGGACAATGAAGTTGTCTGCAAGGCCAGTGAGGAATCTGTTTGACCTTATGCTCTTGGCTGAGTTTGACATCCAACAAATATCTGGGTAATTGAAGTCCCCCATTACTACTATCTCCCTTCCTTTTGCATGCTTGGCCATCTGTTCCAGGAAGGCATCATCTATGTCCTCCGTTTGGCTTGGGGATCTATAGTAAACTCCCACAATGAGGTCACTGTTATTCTTCTCTCCCTTAATTTTGACCCAAATGCTCTCACTTTGGCTTTGAGGTTCTAAATCTTGGATCTCTTCACAGGTATACACATCCCTGACATATAACGCCACTCCTCCTCCTTTCTTGTCTGGTCTGTTTCTCTGAAATAGATTGTATCCCCCCATTATTACATTCCAATCGTGGGACTTATCCCACCAGGTTTCAGTGATGCCTATTATGTCATATTTAATTTGCTGTACCAAGAGCTCAAGCTCATCTTGTTTATTTCCCTGTGAGTTTACGAAGTCAATTTGGTACAGGCAACTAGAGTATATTTTTACAGCAAAGCTGAGCTAAATGACATACAACTGGAAAAGAAACATCTACAAAGCTAGGCAGGTATTGACTGCAATTCTGTACAATTAAGAATCAATGTTTCCTATATAATGAAAACGCTACTACATCTCAATTAAATTAGGACTTTTTCATTAAATATGTAAGTAAATAAACAACAAAAGTGATTCTGTCTTCTTATTTTTGCTTGGTTTCAACAAAGTAAATCTACTTGTGCTTTCACATATGCACTCAAACAACTTCGCTAATATTTCATTAGAATGAAGAAACAGGATGAAAAAAAATAAAAAGTGCACTTAAACTATGGACAAGATGTGCTGATCTTACCATGACCTGAGGCAAAAACTGAAACAGGACCGGTCTGTACTAGATAAGAGCTGGCAGTATAGTCCTCATCAGTGTCAGAGTCCTGAACTGGCTGGATAGCACTAGTACTTAGCAACCATCTCTGGTTGTCATGGAGATTAGGTGATGGAGGAGGGGAATGTAAATGTTCAATAACGGATTGACTAGATGAAGAGGATGGCATGGGAGGACCTAAGGAAAAAAATAAAAATATTTTTTTTAAAAAAAAATGGTTAGGGTTGTATGAGTGACAGATCAAAAAACACTGTTTACATCCTTCAAATTATATCTATTTATAAAAGTTTAATAAATCATGGTCAAACAAAATGATAGCACATAATGAAAATGTTCATTTGAAATTCATGATGCTATGGATAGCTTTTGGTATTGACACTGTATATATGATGCTTGTTTTCCTGAACAACATAGTTTTCAGAACCTAGTTGTATATAACAGCAGAACCGGATAATTTAATTATTCAGTTTCACTTTATTTTAATATTAATTTTTTAATGTTTTAATGTTTTAAAACATCTCTGACTGCAAACTTTGACTCAATGGTTCTGCTGTGGTTTCAGAGACTAAGTATTTGCATAGCCCACTTGCTTTAATCTATTTCTTCTTTATTGTGTCTGTAGAACAGAACAGAGCACTTATGAATCTGTAATCCTGTACAGGACAAACATCAGTATGTTTTACAAATAGATTGCAAGGCAGAAAATGACAGGAAGTGAATATGGATTTTATACTAGCAATAGAATACTTTTTCTTTCCAATATAATAATTTTTGAATGGCGGGGGTGGGGGAAATACCTATACATTTGACAAATTTTTTTGCTCAGACCCTTATCTCCTTCAATAGACAATGCTATTTTCCCCCTTTAGGCATGAAGAGACTGGCCTAGATTTAAGAAACCTAGAGATCCATTTTCACAAAATTCCATGTTGCTAACATACACGAATATTTTTTCAGATTTCATTGCATAGATAACAATTGATAACTATACACTGATCCAAGTTGAAATCCCACCTTACACATGGACTCATTGATCACATATTCAAATGTCTTACTTATCAAAGCATGTAATTACAGGTAGGTAGTCATGTTGGTCTGCCGTAGTTGGAAAAAACGAATAAAAAAAAATTTCTTCCAGTAGCACCTTAGAGACCAACTAAGTTTGTTATTGGTATGAGCTTTCGTGTGCATGCACACTTCTTCAGTATTTGAATTACAAACTTAGTTGGTCTCTAAGGTGCTACTGGAAGGATTTTTTAAATTTTGTTTTATCAAAGCATGGTTTAGTGTGACATGAATGAACCGTAGCAAGCCTTGGGATCACATGCTTCCCTGTCTCCTCCCCCTCTGCGGCTGCAAGGAGTTTGGAGGCTTCTGTTTTAAGTCACCCAGAGTGATATGTTATCTGGAACTATGGTTAACATTAACTATGGCTAGTTCAAATAAGCCAACTAGACAAACCACAGTTTAAAGATGTGTTTTATACTAATTAGAGCAATGTCAACCACAGTTTAAGTCCAGATGGCATGAAAAATCACAGTTAACCAGAAGTGGAAATGAAAGCTTCCAATGTCCTCCTTGAAGATGTATGGAAAGAGGGGAGGAGTATGTGGCATTTGATCATGTCCATTAGAAGATTTTGGATGTGTCACTCTTGTATTCAATGTCCCATCTTATAAAATGGAACAGTGGCCATCTACCATATTGTCTTAGCCTTAGGACATGACAGAAGTAAATCTAAGTATGTGTGTATATGCAGACTATAAAGTTACACTTCAAAAAGTTCATCAAACATTTTCTGTTAAAACAGGATCATATGCAGCTGAGCCAGAAAAAAAATGCATAGGTAATATATTATACCATAAAATGGCCAGATTTCAGGCATTCTCTTCTCTCTATAACACAATGGCTATGTAATAAGTGACTTTTAATTATGAATCCATTTTATATTATAGACCCCCTGTATGCTATCCAACCTGCATAACTTGGCACTGGCATTTATCTCTCTGCTGGATACTAGAGCCTTCTGCAGTCAACCTGTGGTGACAGTTATCTCTTAATTAAAACTCTACATGCAAATAGCATTACTGAAAAGTGCTGTAGCAGAGCGCACACAAAGCACTATTATTTGTAACAGCACAGACCTTGTTATCTTCAGTTTTAATACTGGGCACCAGTGTACTTAGTGTGAAGTTCTCCCTCTGGGAAATATGCTTAAGAAATTCTTATTACTTAAGATAGTAATAGATATTTCCATAGTCGTGACACATTAGTTTTTTTAAAAATTTTTTACAATGCTCCTTCTTTAAAAGCAATTTTTATGCAACATCTTTTTTTAAAAAAACACTTAAAAACCAACAACGTAGTGGATGATGACCCATTTACCCTTGCATCAAGAAGTATGCTTTTGAGTTTCAGACTCCTCCGAATTCTAATGAACTGTCAGCTATATCTCAAGATACAAATCTGAGAAGAAATGATATATTCCCTTAAATGGAGCATTCAAAGGTGTCATTTATTAAAAAAAAGGGTGATTACTTAGGTGTTCATTTGAACTCAATAGTAATTCTTACAGAGCAGAAGCAGCTGAAGTTCATAAAACACGAGCTGAGGTTCTACCATTGTCACATCTCTTTTCTCCAAAACACCCCCCAATCATTTCTCTATGCTTATTATGCTCCCCCACCCTGGGGAATTCCCACAGAAAGCCTTTGCTTCTTCTTCATCATCACAAGCTCCCAGCACAGTTCACTTACTGCTTCTTTCCTAGACTCAGTTTACCATCACAACAGAACCCGCCCTTCACATTATTGTTTATATTTTGCTGCTTATTCATCCTCTTCCTAGGCTTCCTTGATTCTACTGCATGTCTGGAAGCAGGGCTTGCTACAGAACATGCCTCTGTTGTTATCGCAGCATATATGCTCAGAATGTGAACTGAAACTGCCCAATATTTCTATGTGGCCACCAGATGTCTACTCCCTTTTGAAAAGACTCCTGCCAGACTCCTTACCTACCACCAGTCCAGAGGTTGGCACTGGCTACTGGCGCTCTCCTTAGCAGGCAATTCTTCCCTATAAAGAGTTAGAGGCATAGGAGACTTAAATATATAAGAGGTTTTAAGGGGAACTGTAGTCTTTGCCCATGATGAAGCAGTAGGAGGAAAGTGAGACGTTGGGGAGAAAGAAAGGCTGTCAAGCTTGGTGAACGGATTTTAGCCCCTCAGACTGCTCTGGCTCTGGGCCTTGCTCTCTGTCTAAGAAGAGCTGGCAAATGTTAAGTACCAAGGAAATGTGCTGCAGTAGTTAAGAGTTCTTAGTGTCATTGCACTGGAGCAGGAAAGAACAAAACCAGAATTAGTTGGCTTTGCTAATAATTCACCTCTTCCCCCTAGCTTACCAGTACCACTGGACACAGGCTGCCACTGAATATAATAATAATTTATTATTTATACCCCACCCATCTGGCTGAGTTTCCCCAGCCACTCTGGGTGGCTTCCAACAAAATATTAAAATACAATAATCCGTCAAACATTAAAAGCTTCCCTAAACAGGGCTGCCTTCAGATGTCTTCTAAAAGTCTGGTAGTTGTTTTTCTCTTTGACATCTGGTGGGATGGCGTTCCACAGGGCAGGAGCCACTACCAAGAAGGCCCTCTGCCTGGTTCCCTGTAACCTGGCTTCTCACAGCGAGGGAACCTTCAGAAGGCGCTCGGCACTGGACCTCAGTGTCTGGGCAGAATGATGGGGGTGGAGATGCTCCTTCAGGTATAATGGACCGAGGCTGTTTCGCAGCAGTTTTCAACCTGTGGGTCCCCAGATGTTGTTGGACTACAACTCCCATCATCCCTGAGCTCAGGCCTTGCTAGCTAGGGGTGATGGGAGTTCACGAACACTGTAGTTCACCAACATCTGGGGACCCACAGGTTGAGAAAGGCTGGTTTAGGGCTTTAAAGGTCAGCACCAACACTTTGAATTGTGCCCGGAAATGTACTGGGAGCTTATGTAGGTCTTTGAAGACTGGTGTTTTGTGGTCTCAGTGGCCGCTCCCAGTCACCAGTCTAGCTGCCGCATTCTGGATTAGTTGTAGTTTCCGGGTCACCTTTAAAGAGCGCATTGCAGTACTCCAAGTGAGAGATAACTAAAGCATGCACCACTTTGGCGAGACAGTCCGCAGGCGGATAGGGTCTCAGCCTGTGTACCAGATGGAGCTGGTAAACACCTGCCCTGGACAGAATTGACCTGTGCCTCCATGGACAGCTGCGAGTGCAAAATGACTCCCAGGCTGCACACCTGGTCCTTCAGGGGCACAGTTACCCCATTCAAGACCAGGGAGTCCTCCATACCTGCCTGCCTCCTGTCCCCCTAAAACAGTACTTCTGTCTTGTCAGGATTCAATCTGTTAGCCACCATCCATCCTCCACTGAAGAGCAGCCCAGTTAAGTTCATGGAAAAACTAGTTTTAGTGGTGTGAAATTCCTAGTTAAATTATTCAACAGTAGGAGACAGCTCAAACTGTGCAATTAAAAGAAGTCTGTGTACGAATTCCCCACAAAGAGAGATTTTTTTTTTTTAAATGTTGTAGCTATTATGGCAACAGCCGCTACCTAGCTAGTACATCATTAAAGGAGGTCAAGTTAAGCAATTTACAATCAAGTATGGCTTTCCTCCAACTTTAACAAGTAATTTTGTGTGTGACGATCTGAGCTCTAACTAGCATACATTCAGTTAGACTAATCTGGCATACTATTCTTGCTGGGTACTTTTTTGAAAAGCTAGCTAGTAACACATTGCTCTGTGCCAAAGCCAAAGTCTGTATAGCCAGACAGAACTCGGCATGAATCTCAAGTTAAACATAAGGGAATGTTTCAGGGGGTTGAGATTCATAAAATATTGTTTTCTTGGTGCACAGGCCAGCGAAATCCACAGTTGAAGTTCTTTTGTGAAGCTAAACTGCCTTTAAGCAATGAAGCAGTATAAAGGAGACAGCTCTTGCATCTTTAGAAAAGCTCCCAGTCCTGGAATCTGGGCAGGGACCCCCTGACTGTTTCCATTCTGAAGGGAGCCAACTCTTTTTAAAGCTTCCATGCCTAATTATGCACAGCTGCTCCTGATTAAAGCTGAAGCAGGTAGACTGAGTTTTAGGAGATGCTCTCTTAACAGAAAATCACAACGGTCCTTTAAAGTCTAACTCTCCTAAATATGAACATCTGATCATGCTTAGCTTTCCAAAATGTCTTTTTAGTCGTATACACACTCCCTTCTGGAACAGTGAAACAAAAGTGACCTGTGTCTACACAGAGGCGTCAATGTAGCGCATTGCTTAGGTCACACTGAAATCAGATTTGTTTTATCCTAACAAGGCTCCTGTGCTGGGCCTCAGACAAGCTCTGCGTGGGCCTGCATACAACTATCTGCACGCATGCCCTGTTGGTACTTAATTGGAATAATAGAATCAGCAGATTAGAAGATGGGGGAAACACAAGAACAATACCATGAACACCTACTGATATCAATGGGAAAAACTAAAGTTACTCTGCATATTCAAGTACTTCTGGATGTGGACTTCTCGAGTCTAATTTGAACAGGGGAAAGTGGAGTAAGAGCTAAATAATTCTCAAATGGGTCTCAAACCCTCCGTGAGTGAGGGACTTCACCTGCGTGCGAAGACAGGCTCTGGTGGATTCAGCAGATGAGAATAATAGTGGGTTCAACGATCAAGAAGGAAGTTTCTGCAGTTGCTGTAGAGCAGGCATCCGCAAATTTGGCCCTCCAGATGTTTTGGGACTACAATTCCCACCATCCCTGACCACTGGTCCTTTTAGCTTGGGATGATGGGAGTTGTAGACTCAAAACATCTGGAGGGCCGAATCTGAGGATGCCTGCTGTAGAGGCAAGTGAGGGGCAGGAGGATATATTTGAGAGAAGAAAAGGCCAAGGAGTAAACTCCATATACACTGCCAAGGCTTGCTCCCTGGAGATGTCACTATGTGGTTTGACTTTGTCCCTGGAAGCATACGCCATTGCCTTTAGAGCCCAACAACAACAATGGTCAAATGTGGACAAGCCCTAAGAATGTGAGAGGACGCCAGTGGGGGCAGTCTCAATGGAGCTTTTCAGCCAGTCTGGCAAGACACAAAGGTGTCAGGACTTGACGTGGAGCTGCGTGGAGATAATCTACATTGGCAAGACACAGCACGACATACAACAACTTAAAAGCCTGTGTACAGGAGAGCCCGGCTCTGGTCCCAC